AATAATTACAACATCCCACTACCATTTTTAAAGCACTCTGTGCCGTGAATGTCTGTTCAGTTTTGGCTGTAGAATGCTTTCTGGGCACTTATCACGTAATAAGTGTAACGTCTGTACCTAACCCTTGTGTGTCAAATTGTATTTGATTTTAAAGTTTTGTGACAGTAAAACCATTATTGGTTACTAATATACTATATATCGGGGTGGGCAAAATGTGGCCCGCAGGCCGGATGTGGCCCACCAGGCCATCGTATCCAGCCCGCAGGGCCCCTAAAAAATTTAGAAAAGTACAGTAAAAGCTGTGTTATCTGGCATCCCCTGGGAATGGGGGATGCCAGATAATAAAATATGCCGGTTAATTGAGTGGCCCCGGCCACTGCTTCTCCCGCCACGTCTGGGGCATCCCTCTGCCCCTCTCATGGCATCGCTGTCCCTGCTGCCGCATCACCGCCCGTTCTGCGGGCCCCGTGGGACAGGGAGGCAGGCCCTGCACAGCTCCATGCAGCCTGTTATGCCCCCGGGCTGTGGGGGCTCGGCAGCACAGGCTGCTTTGCTCCCAGCCGTGGGGGCTTGCAGAAACCGGAAGTGCCGCGGTGAGCGCTTCCAGCTTTACTTTATCTTACAAGCCAGCATGCCAGATAGTAGAGCGTGCTGGCTTGTAAGATTCTGGATAGCGCAGCTTTTACTGTAATATTTATGTGCCCCTGAGTGCCTGTCATATGGCCCTCGATGGCTTGCCAAAACTCAGTAAGCAGTCCTCTGCTCGAAATAATTGCCTGTCCCTGCTTTATACAAAGTTCCTAACATTGCATGAAGCTATTCTGATGATTAAATTGTTCATTTTTTGTATTTTGTTTCTGACTAGAGTTTAGGTCCAGACTATGAAGATGTGCTTAATACAGCATTGCATTGGATTTTGAATAATGGGGAAGATGTTGGAATAAAGTAAGTAACTATAATTTATAGCTTTTTTTTTTTTTAGCAAGAAATGTTTTGGATTGTAAAACCGTTCTTCAATGCTTTTAAATAGGTGCATCGGCGATGACCCAAACGAGGAATTAATTAATATAACAGATGTGAAGTACTTGGAATCTACTAGTCCACAGATGTCTTTTAAGTGTCGTTTTCGACGTGCATTTATTAATGTAACTCACAGATTATCAATATTGCTTTTGGGTAAGTTATAACTGTAAATAGATTGTATTTAAATAACTTGTACGTTTGTAGTCGTGTAGAGTAAGGAGAACAGCAGTTTGCAGAATGTTAATATTTTAATCCTGTTAAATGTTGAGTGTCATTTTCTGAGGTAGACAGACTAGCTGTTTTGATTTATGGGAAATAATAAACTTTTTTGTGTTGTTTTGAGAGAGGTTGGTGTGTATCTATATATGTAATATTAATTCAACTGGGTAAACAACTGTAAAAAGCCCAAATTTTTATTTTCCCTTACTTTATGGTTACTAATTTGTTTGAACTTTCATGGGGATAAGTACTTAAAAATGACAATTTAAAACAGTTATGTCATCAGTTTCAGAGGAGTTAAGACTTTCTAGACAAAGAACAGTAACAATTACAGATAATCTGCAGAATAATCATGTTGAAAGCCCTTAAAAAGAGCTTTTATTTTATAGTAGCACAGGCATTAACTTGAGTTAATTTAAGGTATATTACTTTTAGGTGAGCCTCAACCCTTGCCATAGTTCCAGGTTTGACCATTACAAAAACATTTTTTGGAAACGTCAATATTTGGTCTTTAATTTTGTTGTACAGAGGTCTAATATGGGACTGGCTGTGCTAGGCTATACAGTTTATGCAGTTTGTACAAATACATTTAATTTCTAGTTGGGTCCATCCTAAATTTAAAAGGTGGTTGTGGCAAAATAATTATCACTTCACTTATTAACCATTAATAGACTGAGGTAGAACCTTAGTATTATGAAACTTTAAAAGTTACCTACTTTAAACTCTTGTTGTTGTGACTGTGTTCTCATGGATGGAAGTTTTTCATGTTTTCTTGGGTAACAGTCCTTCGACCATGTAGAACTTTAGAACTCTGAAAGAGCCTTGAACTTTGGCTGGGAGTTTACCAGCACACTGTCAGGACCCAATAGTAAAAAGTGTTCTCTGTGATATCCTGTTTCATAAATGGATTGAGAGCACTCTGTACTACTATCTGATTTCCAAATGACCTAGCATACTGTGTTCGTGTAGTGTTGAGGGAAAAGAGCATGGAGATCTTTTGTTTAGTTATAGATCTTAAAAGAAATAATGATACTTATCTGCCAGACAGAGGATGGGGGCAATAGTCTTGTCCATAGTTGCAACCTCAGGTTAGGGAAAAGATCTTTTTTTAATCTAAATACAGAGTCTACTGCAAATAGATCTCACATGCACTCTGTTTACTCTGTTACAGAAGCACTCTTAGAAGTGCTGGAGATGTAAAACTAGATGTCGTTCATCTATTCAGTGTTGTAAATTGCTGCCTCCAATAACTGTGTTAACTGAATTGCATGTCTGCAGCAAGAGGGAAGAAAAATTCCTTCAATAATCCTCAAAAACTGTTGAGGCAGCAGGATAACTGTCCCGATTGCTAGTTACCTTTTCTGTAGCAAGGTAATATGCCATATTACAGGGATTATCTACCAGGGGTATGCGTACCCCTGGGGGTACTTTGAAATGTCCCAGGGGGCAGGTGGGGACAGAATACTGCCACCCCACACTGCTGCCTCACAGGAGCAGGGCTGGGGCAGAGTGAGAGCAGGGCTGCACAGATGTTGCGCTGTCGCTGTTCAGCCACTCGCCACACTACTGCTCTGTCTGGCTGCTTGCGCCCCCCCCCCCCCCCCCCCG